AACATGTTTTTATCAGCTGTAAAAATGGGCAATTTACCATGCAGTCGGAAATCATTTGGATTTCCTGGAGCCAGCCCCCAAAGGCGAGTCAATGAATTGCAGTTTTGTTAATTCTGTATTGGCTTCCAGTAAGAGAGCGGGAGGTTGCCGTTTGGTTCCAACATGATTTGCCCACTTTGAATCAGACACAGATAGAGAGTCAGAGAGAGAAGGCAGAGAAAAAAAATGTGTTTGTGATATCTGGCATGGCAGGCAGATCTAATAATAATAATGTGTGTTGCCTACATCTTTGCAAATATTTTGACCATATTGCTGAAGTTTTCATTTAATCAGCCTGATTTTTGGCATATTTTAATTAATTGGCATCAGCCGATTGTGCTGCAAATTAGATGCAGGCGCATTTGCAAGCGCTAAATGTTGTGCAACACATGAAGCTGACTTGTGCAGCAAGCAGGTTCCATTCCACCGACTCCAACACTCTGATATCCCCCGTTGACAAGTCACTTAAAAAAGGTTTCTTATCATTTCTTCTTATCTAGTCTTTTAGATTTTATTGGTTAATGTGATGCTGATTTATTATTTAACAATAATTTACATTTTGAGAAAAAATGCAAGCTTCTCTTTAATTCTGTATTAATGAGCCTTTAAGCAGTTTTAATTTAGGCTACAGACTTGCAGGACCTGGTAGCAGAACCTGGTAAGCTAAGTCCAGTAGTTGATTTATTATAGTAGTCCAATGTTTCCTCTCGGAAAGTATTACAAGTCGAGATCGCATTTACGTGCAATACGAGTGTACTTGCGCTCTGATTTCCTCTGCTTGTGCACAAAACCTCTTTTACGGACCCTCAAATGAACACTGCTCAAATGCAAATCTTCTTGTGCGCTCTCAAATAAACAATGCTAAAGTGCGATTTAGTGCGTTTATGTAGTGAGTATGTCTCCAACATTTAATAGATTTTCCAGGAATATTTATGAATGTCTCCAATAGACCTACCGAGCGGTATCAATGCGTCCTGTAAAGTAAAGTGAAACGGTTATAAACTCCAGCAAGATAAAGTCACTATATGCAAAGTCATAGACCTTTATCTATAAATAAAGTATCATTTTGAAAATTTGTTGATCTTAATTGAAGCTACTTTGTGTTTGCTGACCTCACACATCTCGCACCTGTTAGTCAATCAGCATGTCACCTTACAGCACTACTAAGGTTACAGAAAAGTTTGCGCTGTTACAATTCACTTACCTTTTAATACGTTTTGGCGCAAATATAATCTGCTATTAAAAACATCAACAACAATGACTGAATGTTTGTTTAAATAAATTGTGTGCATGTATGTATGCGCCTATATACACACACACGTGCATTTATTTATATATATATATATATATATATATATATATATATATATATATATGTATATGTGTGTGTGTGTATGTGTGTGTGTGTGTGTGTATATATATGTATGTATGTATGTATGTATGTATGTGTGTGTGTGTATGTATGTATATATATATTATGTATGTATGTATGTATGTGTGTATGTATGTGTGTGTGTGTGTGTATATATGCGCATACGTACACGTATATATGTGTGTGTTTGGTGTGTGTGTATATGCGCATACGTACATGCATACAATTTATTTATCTATCAGTTCTATTTTTTCTCCTCTCTGTTTGGAGAGGTGTTTCTCTATAGTGGTTAAATGTGAAATACAGTTAATTTTGGTTATATCTAACAGCAGTTTTTGTCAGTATAATCTGTATTTTCAGAGTAAATAGGTTTGAGTACAATGTTAAGTTTTCTGGTTTTTTTATTCATAAAATGTTTTATGACTGATTGTTTCTGTCAAACTAGTAAGAGGACAGTTTCAATTTTTTGGCCATGAATGAGTAACATCATGAATGGCAACTTTTCATTTTCTTTTGATCTCAAAAAGCGGAACAGTGCAAAATAGTATTCTAATTTCTTTATTCACAGATATCAATATTCGCAGTTTATCAGAGCAATTTGTATCTATAAAAAAGCAATGCTTTCTGTTACACATAGATAATTGGTGGTTCAAATGTTTTCTACAAAGATGTCTCTCCTTGATTTCTTGGAGAAATATGATCACATGCATTTCTAGAATGATATTTCAAGGAACTATGTCAGTGATTGAAATGCAAGATACAACAGGTAGACTCTCAAAATAAGCTCTGATAAAAGCACCATATGATCTTTTTTTGTGATCTTAGTCTGCGCTTCAGGCTAGGTATGTGCAATTCATAATTTGGAGAGTTTTTACTTTAAAAAAAGGTTTTGTGTTGTTTGTTTGGTGGTGGTACTTTTTGGTTTACCAGTAGATGGTGGTAAGTCCCTATTCAAATTAGTTAATTATTACAGCGTTTATAATTCAAATGACTGCTTCATTTACAAAGCAAATAAATTTGGGCCTGTCCAAAAACCCAGACTGAAACGATAAGAACTAACTACATAGAGCTACACTAGGTGAAAATAATACCAAACCACTGTGCCCTTAATGTACAGTAAGTTTATGCCCTTAATGTACATGCTTTTTAATGCTGATTTGGAGTGATTATTTGAGACTAAGCAAAGTGATCATCACATTCAGGAACTTGTGTGGGATAAAAAGAAAAGCTTTATAGTGCAAAATACATATTATCTGAGATGTTAGACATTTGATTGTTTTTATATGTTTGCTGCTTTTTATCACTTTTTGTGATTTATTGGGACTCCAGAATGAAAGTTTGTTGCACTGCAAATTACTAAGTGTTTTAATGAACCTCTATATAACATTTGCCTGCATTTTTCTGCAAGTGTGCTACGAACCTTGTTTATGAATGGATCATTGAATCATTAACTAATGATTCATTCAAAAATAGATTAATTCCACAACACCCATACAGCTGCTTTCCCCTCCTTAATCAGTGGTCGCTTTCCATGCTTCCTGTGACATGCATTCAGACACTACACATGTTCAGACTTGCTCACAGACCCCCTCTTCCTTTTCTAGAAGTTGCTACGGCAACCCAATTCTGCAGCCCCCCTGATTGGCTGTCGGAATCTGAGCTGAGTCTGCCTGTTTTCTGTTTGTTTAATTTGGTTGAAATTAACTGCAGGCATTATAAGCTGTTTTTATGTACCAATATAGCTAATGCTCACCCTTTACTTGTAAAGTCTTACAGCACTTGGACTTGACTGTGAATGCATCTTTAATTGTTTCCATTACCATGCTGTGCTCAACTGCACAGCTTGGATGAATTAAGCCTAGTAATTGGAAACAGAAGGTGTTTTCATTCAGATCTCTTCTAGAGTATTTTCACATTCAACGTCTTTTACCAAGTTCCCACTATTGCTAATCACCTTGGGTTGATGAGTTTGCTATGTGTGAAATATTGTACGAGTTCATAGCAGTGCATCCACTTTTTCTAGACTGCTTATTTCAAATGGAACATTTATGGTTATTTGATACAGAGAGGTACAGTTTTACACATTTTAACAAATGATAAATGGAATCAAAAAAGTCTCATTGAATTAAACAAAGACAGACTCAAAGAACCTTAAGAAGGCATCCTGAGGATATAGTGGAACCTTGAACTAAAACTTTTGGACTATTTTGCTATCATCAATCTTGAATGTCATTCAATCTAGCCGCACTGAAGGCCAATGCTATCAGGTCACCCTGAGTTACTTAGAAGCAACTCAATCCCATTCCGAAACCTGTCACCTTCACCAACCTCCCGTTCTGTAGAAATGCCAATTTAACACATGTAAATAAACACAAGACTTTTAAAATATGCAATTCTACTTTAAAATGTTGTGGATAATATAACTATATTTACTGACTTATTTTGTTATCGATAACCAACAAGGCATGCTATGACCACATCAGCTGTAAGACAGCATATCAGCTTTAGCTAATTTATGAGAAATGTAGGGATCTGTTAAATGCATGAATGCTTATTTGACTGGAACATTTCAAGCTAAGGTAAAATTAGACCAGCACTATGAATCTGGATTCTAAGAAGCAGTGGGCTGGATAAGGTGTCTGTCTGGGCACAAAGTTCCCTCTCAGCAGAGTGTACCAAAGTGGCACTACTCTCCAAATTTGTATATGAGGAATCTGTCATTCGTTTCCCCCGCCTTGAGTTTAGCAGTTCTTAGAAAATGAATAACTCTCCTTATGCTTGATGTTGCTTTGACAGTAATGAACCCCAGATGGCTGTTGTCTTTCAGAATTTAGTTTAAAGAAAGGGGTGTTATTTGAGCACTAAGACTTTCTTTGCTTATCTCCCAAACTAGCAAGAAAAGTCCCAGAGCCTTGGGACTAAAGTCTTATAATTTCTAATGGCTTTAATCCCCATTTCCTCATGTGTGGTTGTTGTGGTTTTCAAACTTTTTAATTTAAGGCATTCCTTCTAAGAAAATCAGAGAACTGTAAATATCCTTTTGATGCGTTAAAAAAAAAAAGGTACAGGGAATCCTTTCATAATCCGTAGTTTGGACCTGTGGCCTTGAACGCTGTTAACAGTCAAGTCTTTTAGAAATTCAAGCCTTTTAAAATGCCGCGCACCAAAACCAAATAAAGCTTGAGCCCGTCCCAGAGCTCTTTCATGCCTGCACCTGGACTTTCTTACTAGATCTTACTCCACTGTGCACCAGTGGCTGCATATTATGGTCTGTTTGTTTAAGCTTTTTCATCTACCTCCGCTGCATACTTAATCATATACTCCTGGTCAGCACCACCCCTATACGCACACACACACACACACACACACACACCCACACGCACTTAGATGTGTTTCTTGCTGCACCACCTAAATACATGAAAATGATTATTGATCTAAGCATGCTGTGACTGTAGTGGGTCATGGTCTAAAGTTCTTTTTTCCTTGGAGGCTTTGAAATGACAGCCTTCGGTGCTTAATGAAAAGCTAGCAAAGTTGTTCAAAGGTACCTGGCGGATTTTTAATGAGTGTTTAACTTTCTCTCCTTTAGGCTTGAGCACTCTGTTAGACCTGACTGAGCAGTTTGCCCCTCCAGAGGTGGCACCATCTATGCTGCTGAAGCTCCTTGAGGCCATTGAGAAGAAAGGTAAATCTGTCATGTGTTCGCATACATTGTAATTATTGCATTTTCTGCTTGTATTAACTCACATTTTAACTGTGTACAGGTCTAGACAACCCTACACTCTACAGAAACTTCACTGCTGGAGGAGGGCTGGATGTCAGACAGTGCTTTGATAGTGGTGAGTGACAGTCCATGAGTTGTTGCCGTTTAATACAGCTAACAGCAGCAAGATGTAAAAAAGCAAGGTGCTTTCTGTTCACATTCCATATGAAACTGTGAAAAAGTCAGCACCTCTGCATATAACTGTAATTCCTACTTAAAACACACATTAAACTGAATAATTGATGTTATTCATTTGACACTTTTGTTCTGTCTGCATTTTATATTATGGGGGATAGAAAGACTAGATCAATCCATAGACTGAAGATAAAATATATAAACATCTAAGCATATAGCATTGCAGTAAAGCAACTTAGAATATCATATCAATGTCCTAGCAATTGCCCTGGTGATTGTTGTGTCTGGTTAGAACAAAAAAAAACATAGATAGTTAAGATGTATAGCTTGTTTCGTTTTGCCTGGTTAGCTTATGGTGCAAATGTCATTCCTTCCTGTTTGTTTGTTTTATTAGACCCTGCCTCGGTGGATCTTGAGCAGATGGACCTTCAGATGTTATGTGATGGTCTTAGGAGGTATCTGCAAGATTTACCTCAGCCTGTCATCCCCCCTGTTATCTACAATGAGATGATACGCATCGCTCAAGGTGAGTTTCAAAGGATTATTGCACCTCAACAGTAGTCTAACCCATCTCTTATGGAATTTCAGAGATTTTGCATTAATACATGTAAATCAAATTATGTCAATCATAATTTTTTAAATACATTTCTTAAGGTTAGTAATCCGTTGGTAAATACCTTAATCCATGTGCTTTTTTTCTACAGCTAGTTTGGCACAGCCTCAACTTATTTTATCAAACTAAATAAAGTATGTAACAATAACACCATTGCTCATTGATTTCATTTTATTACAATTACCACATGGTGGTGCTATTGTTTTTTAGATTTGTGTTAGCCATATGGCAAGCCTCCTGCAATGGAAGTTAAGTAACACACAGAGTCCTTATAAAAGAAGAACGTTTTTCACAGTCCCGTGACCTTCTAAAACAGCAGTGTAGACTAATCTTGCATGATCGTTTGGCTGTATCATCACAGTGCATATTTTATGAGTACACATGTTCCAGCACTTATCTGATTTTATGTCTACAAACCAGTCATTCTGACTGCAAAATGTATACCAGGTGTTGTATTGGCGTTTGGACTGAGGGTGTTAACTTTTCTCTACCTTCTGTGTGTGACTGAACATTCTGTTCATGTGCAAAACAAACTCGGCAGTGTAAACCAGCTTATAACCAGTTTGAGAGAGGACTTTTTCATTCTGTTTTGGGTAGTGTGCAGTCACATGGCCGGAAACAGGATATCTGTGGTTAATAGACCTAACGCAAACCTGACAGCTTATCAGCGACATCAATGCTGTTAACCAATCACCACTCAGAGTACTCTACTAACTTTGTCATTGTCTCTCTTGAGATCTTGTGCGGTTAGTTGCATGCTGAGCACGATTTTCCACATGACTGCATGTACACTTTTTTTCATGTCCTCACTGGTTATTGGTATATAAAAGCAAGTGAGTGAAGGTTCAAGAGGACATGCTGACGAAATCATAAGTGAATAAATGTGGGGGTGTGAGAGCCCTTGTTTTACACCCTTCTTTGTGTCTGTGTCTTTAGAAGTTCAAGGTACAGATGAATGCGCACAACACTTGAGGCTGGTAGCCAGCTCAACTGCACTTCCTCCACAGTACTGGCTGACCCTGCAGAGCTTGCTGCGCCATTTCTCCCATGTTTGCCAGTCCTCAGCCGTCAACCTGCTCAGTGCTCGCGCCCTTGCTGAGATCTTTAGCCCAGCACTCTTCAGACATCAGCCCACAAGGTACGCACTCGTATGCTGTTGATTCACTCTCATCTCTTGTGTTCTGACGGGAAAAGAAAAAGACGCTAATTTTCTCTTTTTACTACTTTCCTAGTTGTGAGCCCAGTCCAGAGGCACACATCAGGATAATTGAAGTACTGGTGACTAGCGAATGGAGTGACAGTCAGGCAGCTCCAGGTAAATATACCATACTAAATTGCAAGCCCATCTAAAGCAGTGGTTCTTAACCAGTAAATCTGTAAAGTGTTAAGTTTTAATCTTAACAGTGTTGTTGTCAGTTCCAAGCCTTTGAATACATTGTAGACAGAAAGTGATAGACTTCTGGGGGATTCAAGTTGAAGGATTCAAACAGTGCATGTGTATGCAAGTAGATGGAGAGCAGGTAACAGAGGGGAGAAGATTGGGTGGGTAATTGGGAAACTATATGTGAATAGCTCACATCTGCGTCTGATTTTGCCAAGTGACCCACATTGTCAGTACAATACATTGTTTCAACGTCGATATTGCATTGTTCTAGTCTGTAAGATCTGCAATGTCAAGTTAGGCTTATTGTTGACCAGGATCCACAGTTCAGAACACGTGTGATTTGTGGAGTCACTGCAAAGATTTTCATTTGCATGTGTTTAAATGGTATGTGATTGTAAGATATCAAGCAAATATAAACTATTTGGGCATGAGAAATGATCAAGATTTTAGCTTTAACAAAGATCAATTGTGTTTAATTATTTATACAATGAAGACTACAGTGTTACTTTACATTAGATTACTGAATTTCTGTTACGCTATGAAAACCAATAAGCACTTTGCTTTGTTATATTCACCTATGCTATTTGTTGATTTTATTTTATCCAATATTTTTATCATTTTTATTTGAATGTATAATAGATGGTAGATGGGAGTGCTCTGTCAGATAAGAATAAAAAAAATGTTTATCTGTGTTCAATTATTTTGTGGTCAGGATCATTTAGAGATAGAGAAGACCACAGTCAACGTCTGCTGTGCCTGTGTGTGTACACTGTATTAAACACAGTAAAGTTGTCTAGTTGGGCTTTTATAGCACTAGTAAAGTATCTCTACATACCTTTCTCTGTGTCTTTATCCGCTTATCTCTCTCTCTCGGGCTGCCAGGGGCCCCTAGTCTGACTGTGTGACTGTTTAAATGTTTTATTACCTGTTAGGGCCTATTTATACTTTGCCCTGGCATGGAGCAAGCTCAGCTGTCAGTAATTTGCACCTGCATTAGGCTAGGTTAAACAAGACGAGCCCAGACTCAAAAGCACCCCTGCCTCCTTTCTGCTTCTAACTGTGTCTTCTGTACAAGCTTTTACACAAACACGAGCAGCACAAGTGCCACCTTTAATCGTTACTTGTTGCCTCACCAACCTGCCCATACACGACTCCTAAACATGTGGCATCGGATAGTGTGGATGCATGTATGCACATGCTCCTAGTTACTGGGTGACTATTTTAGGCTGGTGGCAGAAGGCCCACTTGGATTGGGTTTGCTTGAAGTGTGGTCTACTCCACAGAGCTCTCTTGTTCACTTGAAGCGGCGGCTGTTCTGTCTTGCATGCATTCTTACACACACACACTCACAACGTTCACTTCCGAGGACTCTACTCCACCCCCTGGCCCCCTCCTGCCTGTGCCACATTCCCCTCCCAAAGCATAAGGGTGCACAGCTCAGCAAATATTTGAACCTGAGCAAGTTAATCATGAGACTGAACCTTTGGAGCCAGAAAGGGTGAATGAGCAGAGCAGAAGAGAGAGAGAAAGAGAAACGGCTACCAGCAGCGCAAGCCCAGCAATCATTAACCCAGCCGTCCTGGAGCAGACATCATTCTCCACCTCTCTCAGACCTACTTTAGTTGTCCGGACTCTACAGTTTCAACCTGTTGTCTCTCTCTCAACTCGGACTTGGCTGGATTTTGTCAGGCTGCCTTGGTGACCTGCCTTAGTGACTCTTAGACGCCTGCACCTGTTAGGTGGGAGTTTTTTTCAAGACGCAAGTCTTTGTGTCTCTTGGAATTACAGAGAATCAGAAGAAATGCTTACCGCACAGACTTGCTGAACAAAAGGCTGCTTCAAGATTGCTGAACATGCACAACTTGCAATGTAAGTGTGTGGTTTGAGTGTAATGATTGGGTCACTTTTTCAGAAACACTTAGGCAGACAGTAAGTGTACTAAAGTAGAGCAGCAGATCATTGTGTTTATGGGGAGTTACCCTTTTTTGGCACATGGTAGTGGTTCTTTTCAGACATCCTTTTTATATATCCTTTTCTGGCTCTTTTTAAAGTGCTTCTACCCTTTATGAATCAAGACTAGCACTTAAAGTGTACCTGCTATAAAAAGTTGGTCAACCTGTTTGACTGACACTGGCATGTCTGAACATGTGTTGAATTATTCATTGGCTCTGATAAAAGTCAGGGTTATAATTTTAAAACTACACGTCATACTGTTCTTTATCCATTTCTCTCTAGTGGTTTGTTACACTTGACCTACTACATGATTGTTAAGTACTTCAGTTGAAGTACCTTTTTGACCTGTCATTAGAGTGCCGTGCATGAAAATAGCCCATGTTCCTGGGGCCGTTTTTAACCCTACTGAGAATTATTACAAGTACTCTGTCAAGCTCAAATAGCTGATCGCTTCCCTCCTCCAGTCTTCCACAAGTCGCATTTGGGGATTATGAAAAGTATTTGCAAGCCATGCCTGCCTCCTGACCTGGCCTTGTCTTTGACGTAGGCAATGTCTACGTGCCGCTGCAGCGGTGATCAGAACACTGCTTTTGTCTGCCTACCAGCAGAGGGACAGTGCTGATAGTTTCTGCTCAGAGAGAGGAGGGGCTTAGTAAAACTGCATCACAGATGCAGGAAGGGAGGGTGAGTCAGAGAAAGACTGTGAGGCTTCAGTTCCTTTCCTCATTCGAAAGATGCTATGCTGCAGTGCACCTTGCTTTTGATTTTGCCTTCCACCGTTCGTCAGCACTTGTGTTCCATACGGATAAAGGACATTTTTGGATTATCGATATTGGAGCAGATACATCTTAAATTTGGCATGCTTTTCGTGGTCGACTTTTGAATGGGCAAAGCAATGTTGCAATGACATCATTGTGCTCAGGACTTGGAAGAAATAGAGGCAGGTGATGAGGCAGGAGTGGCCAGCAACAGTCCTGCAGCTTCATTGGTTGGGGTAAGTGATGTAATGGCTTTCACTGGCCCCTCTCTCCAAGGTTTTTCAAAAATTGATCTCAAAGCGATGAGCGAGAAGAACCTGGGTTCCTAGTAACCACTAAGGAGGTTTGCCAGGAAAACTGCTTGCGAATCCTAGATATGCTACACTCCATTAACCATGGCGGATATAGAGAGTCTGAGACTTGACACTGGATCAGGATCTGGATCAGACCTGCTGTTTTACATAGAATTAGATGCACCAGGTAACTGCTGAAGTTAGTGTGTTGTAAATGTGCATTTTTAAGGCTTAATTTGGTGATTGACAACACCTTCTATAGACTTGGTTTCCTTTAATGGTCTTAAAACAGGTTTGGCATTTTGCCATTGTGTTCTGATGATTATTACTCTTTTTACATTAGTCATTTTGTGCAATACTGTGGATGCTCATGGAGGATATGTCTGTTTTAGCTACCACAGTGCTTTGGATGATTTGTTGCTTAGATTCTTGTATGCGAGTTTGGGTTAATATTGTTGTGTTTAAGTGTCATGCTCTGATTGCACGGGGCACATAATGCTCACCGATGAGAGTGACTGAAGTGAACAAAGGAGAGACACAGTGAGTGTGCATGAGATAGTGGTGGTGGTGGGGGGTGGAGGTTGGAAGATAAAAATAGCCCACCGCTTCAGCTCTGCCTCATGCTCCACGGAGACTGCACTGCCCCCGCTGTTTCCCGTCACTCACTCCTGCAGCCAATCAGCTGCAGCTTCTGCCTCTATCCAGCGAAGCAACATGTTCTCAATGGTTAAGGATTCTTGCATGAATGTGCATATTGCATTTCTTTGAAAAAGGCCATCGGTGGGTTTCTGTCTGCTGTCAGATGTTGTTTCTTATTGATACAGTGATAATTCAGTTCCAAAGCACTTGTTATATCTTTAAATCCAGATTATTCTTGCTTGCCCCTGTATTCGATCTTCATGACCTATCTGTGTTATTGCTGCATCCAAGGGGCACAGCTTACAGTGCTGGCCAGATCAGGAAATTGTGATGAAATGTTTTTTTTTTTTTTTTTTTTTTTTCGGTAGCGGTGATGAAATGCATTCTAAAGAATCGGACTCCCTGATGAGTGCTCGAGAGGCATGTGCTCAGCCACATTTAATGAAATGGAAAACGCTAGAAGGGGAGGAGGCAGGAGATCTAGAAATCTGCAGTAACCGTTGCATGCTTTTAAAACATGACTGTCGCAGTTGGAGGGAAGCATGCATCACTACCTAGACGGATAAAAGCCAAAGTTCTAAACAAAAATGAGTTGCTCCACAAATTTAACTCTTATTATTTACTGCTATTTCATACAGGAAGCACAGAGGTGTTAGAACATGCCTGAACATTTGTATGTAAATGACCTTGACTGCTGCTGGTTCATCAGCTGTTTGTACTCAATCTGCTTGTCTCTTCTTTTTACAGCACTACCTCCCAAGCCACCCAAACCAACGTCTGTCGCTAACAACGGTATGAACAACAACATGGCTCTGCAAGATGCTGAATGGTACTGGGGGGACATCTCTAGGTAGGTATCCATTAAACCTACTGTTTGGTCATGTTGGCATGCATTTTTATAGTATTTCTTAGTTTTATTTAGTTATAACCTCTTTTTTTGTCGTTGTTGCAGGGAGGAAGTAAACGAAAAGCTTAGAGACACTGCTGATGGTACATTTTTGGTCCGAGATGCCTCCACTAAAATGCATGGGGATTACACTCTTACATTGAGGTAGGTTCTCTGTATATATCAGAATCTTTTTTTTTTATTTAGAAAGCTTGCATTGAGTCATTCAGATGTAAGGATTCCTCTAAGCACTGCTTTTTATTGACCATATAGGAAAGGAGGTAACAACAAGCTGATCAAAATCTTTCATCGCGATGGCAAGTACGGCTTCTCAGACCCCCTGACCTTCAACTCTGTGGTTGAGTTGATCAACCACTATCGAACTGAGTCTCTCGCTCAATACAATCCCAAACTAGATGTGAAACTACTGTATCCTGTGTCCAAGCACCAGCAGGTAATTATTGTCCAGTTTAATAGCATCTTGTGAAGAACTTTGCTGGTTTACGATTTAAAATATATATTTAAAAATGGTCTTATTTAACTTTTGCTTGATCATTTTTATTTATAGGATCAAGTGGTAAAAGAGGACAACATCGAAGCTGTCGGAAAGAAGTTGCACGAATACCACCAGCAGTTCCAAGAAAAGAACAGAGAATATGACCGACTCTATGAGGAATACACTAGAACATCACAGGTTTGTTCCAATTAAATATATTTATAGTAGATAATTGACTATATGTGTTTGAATAAAATGATCATGTAGAGTTTGAAATAGACTTTGCATTCTAAGATGCTTTTGTCTGCTCACTAGGAAATACAAATGAAGAGGACTGCTATTGAAGCTTTTAATGAGACCATTAAGATCTTTGAAGAGCAGTGCCAGACGCAAGAACGATACAGCAAAGAATATATTGAGAAGTTTAGAAGAGAAGGCAACGAGAAGGAAATCCAAAGGTGAGTCTTGATACTGTAAAAATTCAAAGTCTTTTGGAGAGAGTTTCGGTTTAATGCAATGAAGTTTCATGTAATTTTTCTGCAAATATTTCATCATAGGATCATGGTCAATTATGAGAAGTTAAAATCTCGCATCAGTGAAATAGTAGACAGTAAACGACGTCTCGAAGAAGATCTGAAGAAGCAGGCAGCAGACTACAGAGAGATCGACAAGCGGATGAACAGCATTAAGCCTGACCTCATCCAGCTTAGAAAGACCAGGGATCAGTACCTCATGTAAGTACTTTGTCCTCCATAGGTTTTGTGCTAAAAACACAGTTTATTTCATGGACAGTGTTGTAATTTGCTAAATGTTTCTCTTTTGTTGCTGCACAGGTGGTTGACACAGAAAGGAGTCAGACAAAAGAAACTCAACGAATGGTTGGGAATCAAAAACGAAAACCAAGACGAGTGGGTGTTCTTCTTATGACGTTATAGCTGCTTGATATTTCAAGGTCTTTTTTAAAAAATATTAAAACTGTACTCTCCATTTTTTTTCTACAGTCAGTACTCAATGGTGGAGGACGATGAGGACTTGCCTCATCATGATGAGCGCTCCTGGAAACTGGGTAACATCAACCGCATTCAAGCTGAGGCTCTTCTCCGGGGCAAGAGAGACGGAACATTCCTGGTCAGGGACAGCAGCAAAGCTGGATGCTATGCCTGCAGTGTTGTGTATGTACCACTTCTCTTTTTTTTTCAGCGTTCATATGTTAGATGTTCTTAACATCTGTTGAAATTCTGTGCCGTTTGTTGACTACCAAGACGCAATGACTAAAACCACATCTTTGTCTTTTTCACAGTGTGGATGGTGAGGTCAAGCACTGCGTCATCAACAAGACACCGACAGGATATGGCTTCGCTGAGCCCTACAACCTTTATAACTCTCTGAAAGAACTGGTATTGCACTACCAGCACACGTCCCTGGTTCAGCACAATGACTCTTTGAATGTCACGTTAGCATACCCAGTCTACGGACACCAGAGGCGGTGAGGACTAGTTGAACACACCTTTGGGACTCGTTACAAACATGGGAGTTGAGAAAGGGCCTCCCCTCGAATGGAGATGCCTCTAGTAAGGCTGCTACAGAGGGCTGCTTTTTGCCTTCAAATGACAATGTCGGAAAGAGACAAGAAAGCAAAACCCAAAAGAAACATTTCAGCCACTGAGACTTTTGCTAGTCTGAATGTAGTGGAAACTGCTAACTAACTCTCCCAAAATGGAGGACTTTGGAGGCCTTTTCCAAATGGTGCTTGTTCATTTCAAAGCTTTACCCGCTGCTGGAATGTGGAACATTGACTAAAGGATGCGTCTTTTGTTTGTTTGTTTGTTTGTTTTTTACCTCCTCTACCCCTGTACCTGCACAGTTCAGGTCCCCTTATTGTGTATGTGTGTGTGTTTGCGTGTGTACGAGAGAATGTGATGTGACCAAAACTCACAGTATCTGGAAGCTATTGGGATGTTCGACATGTTAACGTGTAATACTTACAAGAACAGACCATGGAATCAGCTGATCAAATGTAGCAAGATGGCACTTTCGAAACAGTATATACTAGTTTTCCTGATAGAGACTCCTACACAGATGTCGACATGACACGTCTCACCTGAAGGGAGCAGAGCGAAGACAAAGAAGTGAATGAGATGCTTGGCATTTCATTTGTGAGCATTATAGTGACAGACTCTAAATCCATTTCTGCTTTATGGACTGGCAAGAAAGGAACTGAAATGGACTTCATGGTGTACATAAAGATAGCATCAAAAGCTACATGGCAAAACCACATTGTACCAAAAAGCTCAGTTCCTTCTCAGTTTAATTCTAATCTGCTATGCAAATTCTGTACTTATCCGCCTCCTCTGCAGAGTTGTGATTTTATTTTACAGGTTGCTACCCATTATATAAACTTGTTTTTATTGCTTAAAGTCTTTTTTTATGTATCAAAGTTGTTATTTTACGTGTCAAATGCCAAGAAAGGTGGCTTCGGTTTTACAGAGGAAGTAAGGAAAAAAGTATTTTATTACATATTCCTTTATCAGCCGCTGGATATATAAAAAGAGAGTATTTTATTAGTCTGTTTCACTTTCTCTTGGGCAGAGCCTGGGGGACATTAGTGCTGCTTCTGTCTACATTAACGGCATATATATGAACAACTTTCGCTAGAGCAAACATTAACAAATAATCCATGACAACTTCAGCTGGACGATTAATGTTACACCAACACAATACTGCAGCTTCCTGATAGAATACAGAGGTTTATTTTGTTATATTTGTTCCATGATCAAGGGCGTATTGATTTGATCCATTGGGATGATGTGGGGGACAAAAACATTAGTTTTGGTGATAAACGTAACTCCCTCTTGTTCCTTGTCAACATAGTATTTTTTCTGTATCAGAAAATCTTTAATAGTGTTTACAATGATGGATCAGCTCAGCTCGGCTAGTACCCAATGCCACATTTTCAAAATTGTATTACTTTGATGCGACAAAGTCCAGTTGGACAATAACGGCTGGCTACAGTATTTTTTTGGACGGTAAGATATCTCACATCAGTATTGCTTTGCCTTCTGCTTTCGTCTTTGTTGCAGTTATGGCAAATGCATTTGGTGTTTTTCATAAATAAGCATCAATTAAATAACCCAGTTATTATTTGTTGGTCAATTTTTTCATTAATACATTTTGATTTCTTGTTATAACTAGGCCCGGTTGCCTTAAAGGAGTCAGTTATCTGTTTAAAAAGAAGTTAAATTTCACCATTGTGAGTAGAAAGGTCTTTCAGATCAGAGTTTCAAAGAGAAGGGTCGTTTTTTGCCACGTCTTTGCACACAAATACCCTTCATTAATATGATTTGCCTCACAGTTTGGCAAATATGTCTCCAATAATAACGTTCTCACAGAGTTTCCTTCTTGACAAGTAAACCAGCATGTTGTTTGAGACAAATATTTTAACTTCACAAGCCATTTATTAAAATTAAATGTCCCTCTAAACTTACACACTCAATTTCAAATTTAACAGAAACGTCTTCATGATAACTTATCTGGGTCTTTTTTTTCTCTTCACTTCTTCTGTTGTTCTCTTCTATTCATGTCTGGCTTAAAGGCCACAAACTTCCGTGTTTCACATTGTCATGGTTGTCCTCTTTCTGCAGACACTGTTCTGAGAACTTTAGCATTTTGTGAATCCATTTTTCTTTTCTTTTGAAAATTGTATAGTATTGGTTTACAGACATTGTTACCGCAATGCTAAATTTGAGATTAACCAGTGTGTTCCAATTCTTAAAAAAATGCTTCAGATCTGTATTGGCTTTTTTTAAAAAGAAACAAGATAAATAAAATGTTTTGAAAAAAGATCCATAAATTTTGTGTGTGTTTTTAGTCAGTACAATATAGATTTCTAGCGATTGACAGTTGACTGTTGAACTTCATGTACCGTTACAGAGACTTTTGAGGTTATGCAAATGTTGTGGTGTGATATGCTGGCACGACATTGATGTCACCAACCAGAAAACTGGCTGAAGGTTAGAGAACGTTTTGTTCTCGCATCAAGAATAGCAACAGTTGATTCCATTTAGTTGCTTAGATGCTGTTTTTTTTTTTTTTTTTTTTTTTTTCAGATGTTAGCAGCCTAAACAAAAGTCTTACTAGTTTTATTCCAGGTGCAGAGTTTCAACAGTGTCAATCTAGCACAGTTACAGGACCAACAATGCTTTATTTTTTAAAATACATGAATTTACCATCACCTCAATAGGGCCAATAATATATTAACATAAGAAGATGAATAGGAAGATTATCAAAGGTGTATATCCTCAAACAAGTCAAAGCATCAAAACACAGATTGATCACGAAGTCGGTGAAAAAAAAAAAAGGTTTTCCTCCATTAAAAAAAAGAAAAGCTGAGCTTATTTATTTATCCATGCTAGCTACACACTATCATAAGGTTAGTAGCATTGGTCCCAAAATATACTACACATTAATATTTTTATTATTTTAATGAACACCAATATTTTTAAAGTGTAGTTTGTTGAAAATGTTAGGTGATTTTAATTACTATGTGCAAACTTGTGCATATTGTGCTAAAATGTAAATAAAATGCATTGCTTTAAGTTAATTAAGACATATTTGAGTGAGTCCCATCACGGAGTCCCTGTTTAGTATGTACTTAGTGTTAACTAAAGCGGAATTGACTTTAGAGATGCATTCAAAAGTTGGTAATCTAAACAAAGCACAATGAAATTTCCACCAATATGCTGAATTTGTTTTCAAGAGTTCAAACTTATATGATGCTTGATTATGAAGCTTGTTTGGCATGCTGTCCATGAGAGAGCTCTGGGCTCATAAGATCCTCAAGCCCGGGGCTCCCTCCCATTTGCAAGGCAAGAGGGAAGTTTGAGCTGTGGTACAACTTGAGAACTCCCCTATAGTAGCTAATGAACAGATAGTGATCACTCTTAAGAGATAATTACTAGGAGCATGTCTATGGTGCCGATTTGGATTAGTCAATTAACTTTAACTGCATGTTTTTCGATGGTGGGAGGAAACCGGGGAATCCAGGGGAAACCCACATGAGCACGGGGAGAACGTGTAACGCATAGAAATGTCAGCAGGCTTGGTAAGGACTAGAACCAGTGACGTTCTTGCTGTGAGGCAACAGTGCTGGGCCACCGTGTCACCAATCTAAGAAAGGAGGAGTAGGGGTGGAAGGGTGGATTCTTCAAAATGAAAATGACAGTTATATGGAACTTAGGGTATTTATAGTGGCTTAGGAATCATCTGATTGGTGAGTCATAAATTGAATAATGCTTGACCGGCTGCAAGCAATCATAAGGATGTGATCCTCTCGAAATTAGTTTATAAATAAACTTCACTTAATTTTAGATTTTGCATTTAGTATAGTTTTATCCCTACTCCCTTACTCAATCAAAACATACCTAAAACTCTGATAAAGCATCTTTTATAATAATTAATAAATGTTTTGCTTTTGTCTTAATGTCGTTTTCTCACTTGTGAAGAAATAAATTGATGATCTGAGATTATTTTGAGGAGGATATTTATATAGACTATAGCACACCCGGTACAATTTCTGACACCGGATGTCAGATTTTTTTCAATTGTAATTAACATCACAACAGCAATGAAAATTAGTTTGTTTTTTTCTTCAATTGCTTCTAAAAAGATTTTGATTTTGATTTCTGAATACTTGAGAATAGGCTTTGAAAGTTGTGACCTATTTAGTGTTGTACTAGGGTTATTTGGATTTAGTTGACCGTGCAGTTCTTTAGCACATCACTTTAGCAAGAGTGTGACGGAAACAGCAAACCACAGTCATAAGCAGCAGCAAATGCACTGTTGTCAGGAAGAGAGAAAAGTGTCAACCCATGTTCTCACATCATTAAAATAAGTCTTCTGAAATGAATGCATGCCACACATTTTCCAGCATGGCATGCAGACTGCAATGCAGGATCAGAATGGCATGCAGAAAAGATATGTGGATAAGGCTGTAAAATGACTCGTGCAACACGTACACAGTGGCCATCTGATTTGTGTTCATCATTATAGTGGATTATATGTTGCTCCTTTTCTTTTCACGTCGATTTAATGGAGAAGAGTGGGGTCCTTTGGAATGCAGACAAAATATATAGACGATACATGGTTAAAAATATGTAGATTCTGAATGATACATTTTGGTAATATTATTACTGATGTTAATAATATAAGTCATAATCGTAAATATTACACTGAGGTATTAATTCAACAGAAACAGTGTTTCTAAAAATGTCCTATTATTCCACAGTAAGAATAAATCTTTGCACAAACTCAGTCCACTTAGAACTGATGGATACGCTAGTATTCTACTACTGGTTGCAATTCTGAAATCTCATTGTATCTTAGCTTAATTAACACTTCATAATGTTTGTTTAAGAGTAGAGATTGTATTATTATAGTGGCTGGACAAACTCAGGATTATTAGTTTCAGAACCAAACCAGAGCTGTAATAAGTTATCAGGCTTTGCTGGTATATGATTCCATCACTATAGCATTATTTCAAGATGCGTTTGGAATGTTGACATGTGTATTCCTATCTAGAGTTGCATTCTTTTTTTGCCAAGATCTTATTTATGATGGGAAAGTCTGAGTTCTCAGCACATGCCAAATAATCTCAATAGAGACTTGATAGACCTAATAAGAAGCATAGATTAAAGTCCTTAATGTTGATCAATCAATCCACCATTGCGAACAGTGGATATGTTTGTAGAGTTTAATGCAGGGGTGCTCAAACTTTTTGTTATGAAGGGCCAAATAAAAAACTTGATCGAAAGCCATGGGCTGAAAGTAAATATATCAAGCTGTATATCAAAGTTGCCATGAATAATGTCCTCATTTATTTTAAAATGATTAGAAAACATATCTTTAATCAGATTAACTAATGCACTTTATATATTGTTTAAACTTTATAATTAACCTATTATAATGAAAAACATAGGAATTCCATTTATAACACAGTGGAGTTTAATGCCTAATACACTAGTCAGGCCTCACCTGCTTTGCTTTGATTTGTGTGGTGATGATGTGGTGTATCCGTTGAGCAACAGGATGTTCATTAAAATAAAGAAGTATTTACAACATATAATTGATACATTTAATCAAAGTTAGATTTTTGTAGCTTAAAATAAAACAAACAAACTAAAAAAGGTCACATTGAAATAGAAATGACAATGTGTTTCAAAGTTATTAATCCCAACCCTAGCCAAAAAAAACTCTCACTCTTTTCTCTGTTGGCATGGCGGGCCAAATCAAAGGTTACCATGGGCCAATTTTGACCCCTAGGCCCTAGTTCGGGCATCTCTGGTTTACTGTATTCGAGAGGTTGTTTTTTCCTGCATCACTGACATGTCTCATTTATAGGGATGTAACAATATTGTAAATACCATCATACTGCAATAGTAATTTTTTTCAACATTACCGTAGGCGCATGACTCAATAAAACTATATTTCTAAGAAAAGTTTGCTTAGGCGAATGAAGTGAACGGGAGGTAGGGGACTACAATTCCCATCAGCCTAGACCTGGCCATCATCCTTTGCGGTCTGTTGTTACTATCCAGTAATGCGGAAATGAAGTGTGTTGCTTGTAGCTGGGAAGAAAAAGAGCTGGAAATGATTGAACCTAAAGCGGGTTTTAAATTGGATGTGTGGAAGCATTTCGGTTTCTTTCTAAAAAGATACGAAAAAGTGACAAAAGGTGAGAAAAGGTGACAGACAAAGAAAAAAACAATATGCAGGCACGGCCAGACTGTGGTGAAATATAAGTCGGGGAATATGACTAAAAACAGTCATGGGGGCTGCAGAACACAGCACACTTGTTAGATTGATGCAGACATTGACTTGTACCGAAGAGAGACCTCTATCTCGCTCATGGCTTGTCCTCTCAAGTGGTGGAAAGACAATGCACAGTGTTACCCACTGCTGTCAACCTTGGCTAAATCATATCTCTCTGTCCCAGAAACCTCAGTCCCAAATGAGAGGTTTTTCAAAGATCCCAGCTTTTACCAGATTAAAGTTATACGATAATTTTCCTTTAAAAACCCATCTCTATCGAAGTGAGTTAGTGATCAAATGTTTAATGTGATGAGTTTTTAACAATTCTAAATTGTAACTTTTTTTTAATATGATTTAATAGTTTTTTGTTATTAAAATTGAAAAATTGAAGTTCCTGTTTCGAAACTTACAGATAGATGGCTAATTTGTATGTCATTGATATGTTCAGTGCTAAGGTAAATAAACACTTTTGGCACTTTTTTCGAGTCTTTTCATTAGTTTTGTTTTCCCTGTAAATTATTCAATAAATACCGTACCGTGGCATTCATACCGAGGTATTATCGTACCGTGTAATTCTGATACTGTTACATCCCTACTCATTTAGTATTTCTATCTACAAAAGTCATGCAAACACATATCCTTTGGTTGTCAGGAGTGGAAGAGTGAACGAGTGCTTCTGTGTGCATTCATGCTGAACATTGCATTTTGTCCAACTATTTGTTGTTGAATATAAATGTGCCTTCCTTAGAAACTTAAACCTATGTGTCATGCAGATCTGGACAAAATTGTTGGTACCCTTACACTGAAGAAAATCTACAGTGGTCACCTAAATATCTTTAAACTGATTTAATGATTAATCAATAATTACTGATAATAAACAAATGGAAATCAGTTATTGCTTTTTAATTGTGGTTTAGTTAAAAAGGCAAAATAATGAAACTAGTCTGTACAAAATGGAATTGTACCAAAATGCTGCACATGTCTGTATATGTATATGGAGTATGTGGACTATTATAATGGGTACACAAAATGTAAACTAA